TTGGCCAAACAATTTAGCTCCACTGTTTGCTAAATAAACTACAGCTTAAAGGCATTTAGAGAACTCGTCTTCTTATACTTTAAATTGCCATACCTTCAACTGAACAAAACATTAATTTTAAAATGTTTTACTTTTGTTTAATGACTTGAATTCCGAATTCATGCAAGTGAAATCACTTCCAAAACATTAATTGCATATGCTGCTGCAGTTCTTTCAGCATGTAATTTTTCAGATCTGTTCAGATAATTTACATTCGATTCACTCACATTTCGTGCACATTTCTGTGACCTTGAACTCATTCACATTTCATTTTGAGAATTTTCCGTTCAGGTCAGAGGCTGCTCACGTGAAATTTGACCCAATGGCTCCCGCCACCGCCACCTACCCCACTTTGTGCCCCCCGGAAAAACAACCCCCCGGCCGGCAGTCCGTTGCTTTAATTACTCTTGCGGAAAATTGCTTCAACTCTCAACTTTGTTGAGTGTTAAGCATTTGGCACGAAACCAAAAAAATACAACGTGAAAAAGCCGACACGGACTTGGACTCGAACTCGAACTCCCCTATTCCCCTATTCGCCCAACGAGGGTCAGTGGAATTACAACGCGTGTGGTCAGTGGACGGGCGATTTCTGCAAACGGTGTATGATGGTCGTTTACCAAGTGAAGGGCCGTCCAAGGAAAAAAGGCCGAAACCAAACGCAACCGAACCCAACCCTACCGTACTGTACCGCAACCGCAGCAGTCCGCCGGACATCAGCAGTACGTCAAAATACTTCCTCCGGAGTGGGAAAGTGCGAAGAGAGATTCGCGTGAGCGACGACTTAAGCCCCTTAGCAGAGTTTTTGTTGGTCCGGAGAAGACCCTTGTGCCCACCGGTTCCTCCTCCTGACCACTTACCCTGCTTACCCTGCTCCGTCACCATTCCTTGACATGAGTGTGGAAAACTTTTTGCCGAGGCAAAAGCCACTCGCAACTGAAACCACTTGGAACAAACCGTTTGCCATGGCCGAAGGATGCGGCGGAGCAGGAGGAGCTGAAGGAACTGGAGGAGCTCGAGAGTGCCACTAATGTCTGCTCCAGTAACTAACACGAAAGTGAAGCTTGATTTTGGGCAACCAAAGGCAAAGGAGCCTTGCCGCATTCACCATATGTATGTGGTTCAACTACGAGGAATATGTTTTTATCAGGGCTGCACAAATGTCACAATTGCCGCCGACAATTTGCTTGACAATCAAATTGCGGGTTTGCTTTGGTTCGGCGGTTGAAATGATTATTTTTGTGAAATATGCATTTATGGGGTTTGGTATCCGGCCAAATTGCAATTGACTCGGTTTCCGTGGTTTACAAAATGAAGTGTATAGCGTATAGTTTTTAAATGTATTGAAATTTCGGGAATTAATATTTATATGATCTGAGGGCTTCTTTTGCTAGCTTGTAGCCCTGGCGCTTTACATGTACGCTTGTAAGCGAACACATTTACCTATAAAAGAAAGTGGATTGCAGGTGTCCTTGTCAGCGCAGCTCATTCCTCTTCCATCGGTGCACACAAATTGCCAAAGTTGCGGACATTTGGCCGCATAGGCAAAACTTTCGCCCTTCGCCAGTTGCTGGAATTAATTAAAATACAAAATGGCCACAAAGGCGACGGCGGCCAATCCAATTCGAATCCGTGACGGGATCACAGCCGGATGTGTGTGCTCTGTGGCAGAGTGGAGGTTCTGTGTGTCCATGCGTCTCTAAGGGCAGTCGCCGCCCCTCTAATCGCTTTGCGGCGCCTGGCACTTCCATCAAACACGCTTCCGCAGTGCATATCCTGTTTGTAATCGATTTGGAAATGTGCAGCAAGGACACTGGCCGGCCAAGTGTCCGGCGAAAGGCACCGGAGGCAGCGGAGGAAGGAAAGCGAGCTACGGCGAAAGTAAAGTAGAACAAAGAGGAAAAAATTAGCAATAAACGTTAGCGCACGCGATGTCCTGCCCCCAGGAAACCAAACGCAAGCTCACACTCCTTTCGAAAAAAGGGGCTAAAATCAATAAAATGCTTGTTGCTCCGACACCAAAAGCAGCAGTGGCAGCAACACAAGAAGCAGCAACACCCAGAGGCAACAACATTTGTACAATGGCAAACGACGTCGCGACTTTTTCCCCGACATCTTTCAATGTACAATTATATTGGTTGGCTTTTGCCACGCCCACCCGAGACGTCCTCCGCCCCCCCAAACCCCATCTGAAATGGAAAGGGTTACTTCGTCGCTGTGCAACATAAATAGTTGCGTTTTCGCCTCCCCTCCAGGTGCACTGAAAGAAATACGTCTGTGTTATAGTATGTACAAGAAACCCATTTGATTTAAACTTAATATTTCTGCCCTTAAAAGCGTCGCTTCCCTTGCAAACCAGAACAAGGTGTTAACTAATATATTTCGTGGATTAACGATGGTATGGCAGGTAGTTTGAAACTGATATGGCTTAATATTACGCTCAGTGGTACGCGTTTTGCGCCGCGTCAGCGAAAATGCCGGAAATTCCTGGGACTGGGTCCGTGTAGAGAGTCCTTGGCAGCCGATTCCTCGACAGTTCCCGGTTCTGCCACAACTACTCCAGCTTTTGCTGCTTTTCCTGCTTTTCCTGCCCCTCGTGCTTAGCCTCGTCAGCTCCATAAATGGCTGCAAAAATGTAAATAGAGAGGAGAAGAATAGGGGTTTTCGGGGGTATAACGCCGAGCACATTGCTCGTTACATGCTGGAGATTCCTGGCTGGGAGCGAGTTATTATGACAAACTTTGTTAATTGGAAAATATTCCTCGAAAATGCTGGCTGACTGGCTGGCTGGCTGGCTGGTTGGAAGCTGCCACATTGAATTTACAGGATACATTCATCGCTTGTCCCGTGCTTTTGGGTTTGGTTTTGGTTTCTGCGGTCTCAATGCATTCGACAAGTTTTGAAGCGTCGCTTTTACTCTCCCGTTGCTGCCTCAAAGTTTGCTTTTTTGGGCAAATATTTGCGCAGATGGCATCGGTGGAAAGTAGATTAATTCATTACGCTGCCAGCAAGTTCGTTAAAACTATGGCCCAAAGATAAAGCAACTTCGGCTTTAAATAGTTGCAAAGTTGGGGGAGTTTTGACAAAATGCTTATGGCTAACTTTATGACAGCTGCAAATGGTTTTCCTTAAGGATCGGTTCACTGAAGTCAGCCAGGGACGGGGAAAGTTGACTGCCGGACATGTTTGATGACTCTCTCTTTATGGCTGGTGTTTTACATGTGATTTATAGCTGCGAAACGCGCTGTCTATGGGGACATATGTACGCATCTCTTCTTTTTTTTTTTTGTACAATTTCGCCGTAATGTGTCTCCTTTTTATTTGCAACATTCTCGAGTATAATGTGACCCAGAAAAGGGGCAATAAATTGAGTGGGGTGGGGGGGTTGGGGCAGCGGTTGAAGTATCCATTGCAGTCTTCTGCTCTGCCCGATCATCTTGTGGGGCTCCAAATTGAAGCAGCACTCGCCAGCGCAATCCATTGCACATCCAGCACCATCATCATCCTCATCGCCGTCATCAATTCGTCCCTGGACTTGATGATGGCGACCGAAGCCAATTGTACTCGGCGAGGCCAAAAGCAAAAAGCTCCATGGGAACGAGTGCTAGTCGATGAGTTGGTTGAGTTGCCTGCAGTGAGGAAAAATGTGCACCAGTAGAAAATTCAAACTTTTACTCATGGTTTTCAATATTTCCATTTAGCTAACTATATTTGAAAATCAATCAACAACGCTTACAATTAATCTAATTATTTGCCGGGTATTTTATATCAACGCTGGTCTCTTGCAGCAATTTGTTCAAGTTGTAGAACAACTTTTCAGCAGGCACTTTTAATAAATTAAGGAATCAAATAAAGATACTTTTCTGCATGCACTTTCAATAAAATAAGGAATCAGTTAAAGAGACTCGATGTGGGTTAAATTGAAGTGATATATAAACCAGTTTTAAAGGTCCCCTCAGAGCTGTTGCGATACATTTGAGCCAGCAACTAGATCCTTGATTGTGTCCGGCGTATTTAACCTCAGTGTGGGCGTGAAGTAGACACGATACTCGATAACAGACTGGGACGTGTCCCTGGCCAATCCTCATGACGGCATTTTATTGTTTGCTGTCGGTCTTTAGACCGTCGAGTGGATATATAGTAGGGGTTAAACTTGTATATGCGTTTGGACTAGATCTGCTGCTATCCGGTTTTCCATATTTTTTCCTGTCCTCGGCTATGCCATATCCTTTATGTAATTGTAAGTGCCGGCGATTATGTACACGCAACTTTGACTTTAACTGCCGCTTGTTGTTTCAGCAGTTGGTACTTGGAGTCCGGCGAGCGCAGTTATTGTCACGGCTGTTTGGGGCGCTGCCCGTTGCCATTGACAACCCCGTAGGCGTTCGGTAAACACCCCATAAGCAAATCCGCCCACGCACCCCACTCCGCCCCAAGAACCACATGGCTGCATATACTTGTGCACTCCCCCAACACCAGCGAACAGAGGCGCCCACCTCCACCGCCACCTCCGCCTCCACATCCACACAAAGTGTGCTTTCAATCAGGCACTGAATTGAAAATCCATTAACGAGTACAAGGCGGAGGCACTGGCGCCAGCTGGCACTGCCACTGGCACCCACTGTTTCCGCGATGGGCACCGGGAAGTCGGTAGGGGGAAATGGTTGGCTGGTTGGCGGGATGGGGATGGGGCATGGCCATGGTCCGCCAAACTCTCGTGCACTATATATTTTCTTGAACAATAAAAAAATAACACACAAATTTGGTGCCTCTGTTCCTGCTTTGGTGCTGCAGTCAAGGATGCCATCGCAGGCCAGTGAATGGAATTGCAACTCACAAAAGGCTGCACTTGGCAAAAACTTTGGCTTAAAGCAAGGCATTCGGTGGAAATAATGCATATCATAAAGCAAACCCCAAACTCAAACTATATCTTAGTGCAATTTTGTTACTATTTTTTATAATAGGTATTTGCTCTAACGCCTCATAATAAACCCATGTAAAAAGGCACTGGGAACCACTGGGACTTAAAGAATAGAGTATTTATTTAGCACAGCGACTGCAACGCTACGAACTGAAAGCCATTACTTGTTGGTTTCTCCAAGTGCATTAAATAAGAACCGAAACGAATCATAAATTCAAATAAATCAAAGATAAATCGAAGCGAAAAATCAAAAGAGCGCGTCGAAAATGTTGACCTGCGTGTGTCGACCCGTCTCCGGCAATCTGCCCAAGATGCCGCCCGCCTCGCTGATGCCCGCCCACCGGGCATCCTCATCCTCCACATCGTCCTCATCATCGACAGCCTCCCTGGCCTTTGTCAGCCCCACGCGAGGAGTGGTCGTGACCTCCGAGCCCAAGCTGAACGTAAGTATCCCGGTATCTCAGCCGCATCCATGGAGCAAATCCAATCTGCGAAACAACAAAAGGCCGAAATTAGCTTAAGCATAACTTGATTTATGGCTGACCACGAACGTTGACAACTTTCAGTTTGACTTTTGAGTTTGACTTTTCTGCTGCCCCTGGTGGGTTGGTATTACGGTAACGCCTCGGATTATAAATTGTGAAATTTCATTTCTCACTTGTGGGTGGGTTTTGTGGGTGGGCTTTGCTTGGCTCACATCCAACTCAGCCGCTTATCTCGCTAACGATCCGACATCCCAATCTCAATCCCAATCTGTTTGCCATGTTGCGTTGCAGGTGCCCAGCAGGCTGACGTCAGCCGAACTGAGGGCGATGGCATTGAGACAGCAGCAGCAAATCGACAGCCAGCACCAGCTGCTGGCCACCAAGGAGCAGCGCCTGCGCTTCCTCAAGTCGCAGGAGGTGCGCAGCGCAGTGGCCAGCGCGGAGGGCGAGCGGCTCCGGCGGCTGCGGGAGCGGGTGGAGGCACAGGAGTCCAAGCTGCGCCGCCTGCGAGCGCTGCGGGGTCAAGTGGATCTGCAGAAGACCTACAATGTCACACTGAGTGAGTACACTGGCAGAAAACTGCATTCTCTTGGCTGAAGCGTGACACAAAGCGCTTACTCTGAGCCTTGTGCTGCGCCAACCATTTTATTATTAGTATAAATATTTTCGACATTAATAATTAAGTTTCAATGGTACATTTAATACATATGCAAAATAAGTCTGCATATTTTTTGCTTGGTCTCTATATAGTATTACATTTATTCCACTGCTGTTGGTAATTCAAAACGAACCTTAATTAAACTGCTACATGCAATTAGTACATTGCCAATCCCTTACTTAGTTCAAGCAATACCAGCTCATCCATTATTGATTAAATACTAGCTGGCTCTTCCTTATTAAATGTATAGTTTCACAAGAAAATCCCAAGATGTTTTATGCAACGTTTGTGCAGTGCAAAAAATGTTGGAAAATGGCGGTTGGAGGCCGGTGGCGAAGTGCCACCAAGTGCATCTGCTTGGGATATCCCATCCGGTCCTAAGCTCCCCTCTCCAATCGAGTTAAGTGGAGAAGAGGGGTTCTTTGGGTGAATTAACATGTGTTAAAACCGTGTTGAGTGCTGGCCTGCCTTCATTCCGGAGGACCCTATCCCATTCGCATCCGCATCCTCAACCACACGCCCAAGACCCTCGCGTGTGTGAATTTAATTTATGTATGTGTGCCACTTTGTTGTCCTTTATGATTGCCTGTGGGCGGGAACAACGCCCTCTGAACATGGCTAAGATGATGTTGGCCCACACCGCACACTGGCGCACACATTTCCATACAGGGGTATTATGTTAATGAGCTGGCGCCCTGCGTTGTGGCCGTAATTAGTTTGAACAGGCAACCCAAATCCGAAATCCTCGAAAGGGAAACACCGGCGACCAGCAGGCGGCCAGCGATTATAAAATAGTTAGTGGGCTTGGGAATGGATCGGGATGGCGTTCCTGATTAAGCTGAGCACTCAAGAAAGAAGCACCTCCCTTAATCAAAAATCAAGTGCCCAGCTACAGATTGCTTCAGCCTGTTTCGTTGTGAAGTATAATTAAGATCTGCTGGTGTGCCGTAATAATCGTATGAGATTAAACATTATCACCAGGATAATAACCGCAAGCCCGTTCGTTTGTTTGCTCTAAGGGTAGATAATATAAGATATTTAGGATAGGGTCCGTACTCCGGACATTATTATACAAAGCCATTTCTAGCACAAAGTACCATCGCCCATTTGCAGGCAATGACTTGGACTCGATTCGAGCACTGTTTAGCGAGAAGGAGAAGGAGCTCAGCCTGGCCGTGGCCAAGGTGGAGGCATTGACTCGGCAACTGGAGGAGCTGCGACGTGACCGACGATGTCCTGTGAATATCCTGGCAGCAGCTGGCAACGGAGTGGGTCAGCCGCTGCCTCCTCAGGCATCCCGCGAACTGGAGAAGCTGCGTCGTGAACTGATGGTGAGTGGACAGCACATCAGCAACTAATTGCGAACATTGTTTGCTTAAGTATTTGTTGTTTATTATTGCAGTACCGCAATCAGTTGTCGCTTCAGCAGGATGCACGCTTGCATATGCAACGTGAGGCACTGCAGCAAAGGCAGGCGGAGCTGCGGTCGGTGGACCAGCGCATCTACGAGCTGCAGACGCGCCTGCAGCGCAAAAAGCAGGCCAACACCCATCACCAGCAGCAACAGCAGCAGCAGCAGCACCAACAACATCAGCAGCAGCAACAACAGTCAACAGTGCAACAACAGCAGCAGCAGCAGCAACTCCATGTGCAGTCTGCACAATTGCTGGCGGCAGCAGCAGCAGCAACTGCCCAGCAGCAACAGCAGCACCAACACCAACATCAGCATCAGCAGCAGCAGCAGCAACAGCAGCAGCAGCAAAGTGCCAGCAATCTGGGTAAACATGGTGGGGTAGCCGCCCTGAAGCAGCAACTGCTGCAGAAGCAGGTCAATCAACTGGCAGCTGCTGCTGCCGCCGCCGCCGCAGGACGAGCCCGGGGCAACGTGGCGGCCGTGGAGCCCTTCATCCACACGCCCCAAAAGTCCACCATCACGAGCACGGCCAGCTACCTGAGTGGCGGGATGAAGCATGCAGCGGCCACGGCCAATACCAACCAGCAGAATCAGCTCATTCAGGACTTGACGCACGTGAAGCTGGGACAAAACAGTGGTTTCTTTGCCGGCTCCGTGCCCGTGCCCGTGGCCAGTTCCAGCTGCGAAAGCGATGAATCCAAGTTGGCCAAGAAGCTGCTGGCGGCTCCTGCCAAAACGGAGGCTGAAATGCGCAAGCAGGCGCAAACGGAGGCCATGGATAGCACCACACATATCTACGCGGAGGTGGGACCCAAGAAACGAGATCGAGAAGCGGCGGCGGCAGCAGCAGCAGCAGCTGCAGCAGCAGCAGCCCAGGCAGCAGCAGAGGCAGCAAATCAGGCCGCAACTGCAGCAGCATCCACAACATCTCCACCCGCCTCTGCAAATACCAGCAAAATACCCAAAAGCACCTCCTCGAGCAACAGCAGCAGTTCGGCCTCGGCACTGATAAGCAAACTCAACCAGCAAGCGACGGCGAAGGAGAGCCAGGATCAGCAGCAATCCCAAGCCAAGAAGAACGAGATTTCGGTGACCAGCGAAACCCTTTCCGAGCGCAACACCCAGCAGCAACTTACCGTGCACAGCATGCCCTTGGGGGCCATAAGCAAATCAGTAGCCCTCGCCGTTTCCAATGCCTCCAAGCCGCTCCAGGTGCAGGTGAGCAACCTGGCCGTGCCGCCACGCAAGCCCATCAGCAGTGTGGCGCCCACTTCGGTGTCCAGCGGCAGCTCCATACCCAAAATGATCACCTACAGTCCCAAGGTGAATCGCGTGGCGCCCAATGTGGTGATGACGGCGGATCCCCGACCAGCTCTGCCGCCCAAGCCCAGCAAGATGTCGCCCACAGAGCAGCCATCGCCAGTGGAGGCCAATACGACAGGATCCACGGGCGGAGCGGGAAGTGGTGGAGCGTCGGCATCGACTGCAAACAAGACACAAACGGCCACCTTCGGGCTGCAATCCCTGAACATCAACGACAATTTGCCCATCAAGGCGAAGCCACTGACCATCCGCAAGCAACCGCTGTTCGAGCAACCTCGCCTCAAGTCCAGCCAAGCCAGTTCCAATGGCCAACAAAAGCCACCTCTGCTGCAGTTGCAAAACCAGCGGAAATCCGAGCCTTCACTTAGACAGCCAACGGAAAACTTGGCGGACACATCGCCCCAGCATTCCCCAAGCAGCGAGTCCAGCGCGGACGAAACGGACCGAATGGTGGCCCCCAGTATCCTGAGCAGTCAACAGGAGACATCAACATCCGCATCAGCCACCACGACAACCGCGACGACCAGCAACATCAAGGAGCGAACGGGCAACGGAAAGCCCAAGCTGGGGAGAAGGGTGAGCTTTGATCCCCTGGCCCTTCTGCTGGACGCCAGTCTGGAGGGAGAACTGGAACTGGTCAAGAAGACGGCCATGCAAGTGGCCAATCCCAGTGCTGCCAACGATGAGGGGATTACAGCGCTCCACAATGCCATCTGTGCCGGCCACTTTGACATTGTCAAGTAAGTGATGTGGGCCTTCTGCTCTCCGTATTCAATCTAATTAAGCTCTTGATTTTTTTTCTTTTTCCTTAGATTCCTCGTCGAGTTTGGCTGCGATGTGAATGCCCAGGACTCGGATGGCTGGACGCCATTGCATTGCGCCGCCAGTTGCAATAATCTATCCATGGTCAAGTTCCTGGTGGAGAGCGGCGCCTGCCTGTTTGCCTCCACATTGTCGGATCACGAGACGCCGGCGGAAAAGTGCGAGGAGGATGAGGAAGGATTCGATGGCTGCTCCGAGTATTTATACAGTAAGTAGGGCCAAGGTTTTCGGGGCATATTGGGAAAGGTCAGATGATAGATGGGCTACAAACGGGACATTGCCTAAGTAAACGCTTAACACTTCAATACTCTTGCAGGCATCCAGGAGAAGCTGGGCATCCTGCACAATGGCGACGTCTACGCGGTGTTCTCCTACGAGGCCCAGAATGGAGACGAGCTCTCCTTCCACGTCAATGAGCCACTGATCGTGCTGCGCAAGGGCGACGATGCCGAGAACGAGTGGTGGTGGGCCCGGAATGCCGCCGGCGAGGAGGGCTACGTGCCCCGCAATCTCCTGGGGGTGAGTAGATGCTGCTGCTGCTGATGATGGAGCTAATGAAATATCTCCACGTACGCCGGATGCGAAATAAGCGACAACTCCTTTCTTTCACAGCTGTACCCCCGTGTGCCGCCGCATTCGCCGCACTTCAGCGATTAGCAGTTAATACGCTTCACCATACTGAAGCGCAAGGCCGGCCGACTCATCCAGAAGCGCTATATATCCAAGTACATCTAGGGACCCAGCCATCTAGCCGATTCTGGGCACGTGCCACCACCACCGCAGGAGTCATCGGGGAATTATTTATCACGGCCCCATGTTTCTTTATGTTTACTTTTTGTTTGGGAAAAGCAACACAAAAGGACGAGGAGGGCGGAGCAGAACGAGGCTCACCATATGCTCATCCATATGGAATGGAACCGACTGCAGCAGCAGGAACAGCAGCAGCAGCAGCAGCTTCCGCCTGAGTCATTTATCCCGACGACTGCCCTCAATTAGCCAGGCTTTCGCACAAAGTTCAGCACACCAACACACATATCAGCCACATATCAGCCACACAACACCACATACCACCCACGAGCATACCGCCCACCACCCCCTGCATACGTACAACCGCAAATTGAATTTCACTTAAGCTCCTTAGCTTTAAGGCCTAGACTAATAACTCATATCAGCCGCCTGCTCGCCACAAAAACTTCACCTTCAAGTCTCTGCAGAAAAAGTTCTGATTGAAAGTGGAATACGGAAAATTAGAAATTTAAAATTCCTCAAAGGCTGCACACGCACACAGGATGTTTTATCTACGGATAGCCGAAGGAGCAGGAGTTTGTTAATTGCATATATCAAGTTAGTACTTAAACTTTAATTGAACTCGAACAAAGTTCACGCTAATCGAAAGGAAACATTTTAACACGTATGCATAACAAAACTCGCACACACACAAGCAGAATACATAACGAATCGAATGTGATTTTTGTATAAAGACGAGAATAATTTAAACAATTTGTATCGAATATGGAAATGTAAATTACATTAGGCGCAGATTCGTTGACAAGTAATCGCATTATAGGCTAAACGTTATAATTTAACTTAATCTAATTACACCTAATATACCGATTGCTTAATACTTAGTGTTTAATGACCAAAACACATTGAAATGCAAATACGTTTGAATGAAAGAAAGAAATAAAACGAATAAGAAAGCTTATTGCTGTGGGCTTTTATTATTACTCGGAAATTCATTGCTCTATTCTCTGATCGAACAGCAGCTCAAGTTCAGTATTCATTCGGAGGTTCAATAGTTGCCTTCTACTTCGGCTTTTCACCGGTAAGCGAGTGAAAAGCTTTTCAAGCACGCGATCATCAATTAATTTGGCTCTTGATATCAGCAACTGATTACGCAACCCCATTAGAAGTAAACAATTTGTAATTATTAGTGGAACGTCGAGCGATTAGCTGATCATGACCAGCCTTTTTATTCATATTTATTATTTGAACATTTTGTTTCCCTAATATAGTCGATTTCACCTTCAATCTAGCTTTCGAAATTAAGCTACACAGCGGAAGTCTTCAGAATCTTGTAACCTCGAGCATACAACATTTGTAGGCTATTACGAACAACAAAATAAGTCGAGTCAGTATTAAACAAAGACAAAACCAATACTGGCCAAACATACGAATTATTGTATAGGTTCTCAGAATGCAGTTTCCATCAGTATTTGGCCTCCTCCTGGTTGGAATCCTGTATTCCCAGTTAGAATCAACTGAGGGATCCAAAATTCTGGCTGTTTATGCCTTTCCGGGTAAAGTATTTGAAGACCACAGAAACTATCTTTTAAGCCGACTCATGGCTCATGTTTTGGAAAATGTTTTAGGAAAATCACATTTTATGATGCACACTGCTTTAATAAGGGAACTTGTGGAAAGTGGTCATCAGGTCACCATGGTAACAGCCTTTACTCTGGCGAAAGAGCAGCTTGGCAGCAACTACACGGAGATCTTGATAGAACCGGTCTACGATTTCTGGCACGATGGTGAGTGGAGCTCGTAAATGGTAAATCTGCCAAATCATCGCATAATATTTTCGGTTGGAACCAGTTAAGCTGAACTTTGGAGCCCAGCACTTATTCGAGCTGACCCGCATGACCAACCATGATTTCCTAAAGATGCTGGAGATTATCGGCCTCAAAACCACCGAACATGCCCTACGGCAGCCCAAGGTTCAGGCACTCATCAATGCCGAGCAGAAGGATGGGGTTTTTGATCTCCTCCTGGCCGAACAGTTCTATCAGGAGGCCTTCTTGGCTCTGGCACACCTATATAAAATACCCGTGGTGACCACGAGCACCTTGGGCTATGAGAACCACATGAGTCAGATGATGGGCTTGATTACACCATGGTCTTTTGTCCCACACGGCTTTATGCCCTTCACCGATCGCATGAGTTTCCTGGAAAGGGTGAGGAACTCCTACGCTTCCTTCTACGAAGACATGGACAGGCTGCTGAACTATTTTCCCAAAATGGATGCGGTGACCAGGGAGTTCTTTGGACCCGTGTTGGGTGAGTTGGAGGGATCGTTTTCTCTGAAAGCCCACCTGAGTGCAGTGTTTTCCAGCCGAGGTGCCCAAGGTAAAGCACATGGAGCGGGAAATCTCAGTGATGCTACTGAACAGTCACGCACCACTCACCACGGCACGTCCCACAGTGGATGCCATGGTGGCAGTGGGTGGCATGCATATCTATCCACCCAAACCGCTCCCGACTGACATGCAAGCCTTTTTGGATGGCGCCACCGAGGGCGCCATCTTCTTCAGCCTGGGCAGCAATGTCCAGAGCAAGGACATGCCCGCGGAAATGCTGCGACTGTTCCTGCAGGTATTTGGTTCCCTCAAGCAGAGGGTATTGTGGAAATTCGAGGACGAGAGCATTAGCCAATTGCCAGAAAACGTGATGGTCAGGAAGTGGCTGCCACAGGCGGACATTCTGGCCCATCGCAATGTGAAGGTATTCATTACCCACGGTGGTTTGTTTGGCACCCAGGAGGGAGTGCACTACGCTGTGCCCATGCTGGGTATACCCTTCTACTGTGATCAGGTACTCGTATATTTCAATTATTATATAAATCTCTGTTTCAAGGTATATACATGTATATTATGTTGCAGCACCTCAATATGAACAAAGCTGTTTTGGGTGGATATGCCATTAGTCTACACTTCCAGTCGATTACCGAGCAAATCCTCCGGCACTCCTTGGAGCAACTAATACATAATACGACCTACAAAGAGAACGTTCAGAGGGTATCGGATATTTTTCGGGACCGGCCGCAGGAGCCACGGAAAAGTGCCGTCTATTGGATCGAATATGTCATCCGGCATCGAGGTGCACCCCATATGAGATCCGCGGGCCTGGATCTCAACTGGTTCCAATTCTACTTGCTGGATGTCATAGCATTTGTGGCTATCATTTCTTTAGCTGGATTCATGGCCCTCTCATTGGCCATTAGATTACTGATGGGCAGTAACAAGAAGCACAAGAAAGCTAAACAAAATTAAAATATTTCAAGGGTTTAATTAAAATGTAAAGTGTCAAACAGGGTGGAAAAAGTGACTTAAAATATGTCAGTGATCTAACATTTTATCTTCATTAAAGTATTAATCAATTATTATATGTATGTGTCTCCGTTTTACATTTCGCAATTATAACAACATATAATGCTATAGTCGAGTTCCCCGACTATCAGATACCCGTTACTCAGCCATTGGAAGTGCAAACGAGAAATTTCAACATTTTTTCGAATATCGGTAGAAATGGGGGAATAAATAATAAAATGAACAAAACTGAACAATTTTTTAAAAGTGTGGGCATGGCAAAAGGTTTTTGTAAGTCTATAGAAAATTACAATTTATATAAGCAAGTAAAAAATACCACAACATTTGGGGCGTAACAGTTTTGTCAACCTGTTGGCGTAACAGTTTTGGCCGGTTTCTGGGCGTTGGAATGGGCGTGACAAAAAGTTGTTGGCAAATTTATAGAAATTTACATGATATATTCAATTAAAAAATAAAAATTAAAAAATATTAAATTTTTCAAAAGTGTGGATGTGAAAATTTTTTTTTCTCGAGCAACGGGTATAATTACAAAAAAAATTTAATTCAGAAAATGTTCTAAATTTGAATGCAAATTTTTAGAGAATTGCGCGAGAAACATTTAGAGGTATGCCACTTCAAAATCCGATATAGATAAGTTGAGTTATGGAGTATATAACTTCAGCCTTGGGACATTGTTTGAATTTCAACAACATAAAAGATCAGAAAAATTCCAAAAAAATTAAAAAAAAATAAATTTCTAAATTTGAATGCAGATTTTTAGAGAATTGCGCCAGAAGAATTTATAGGTATGCCACTTCAAAATCCGATAAAGATAAGTTGACTAACGGGCATAATTATACCCGTATATAAAAGATGCAGCCAGCTGAGTAATGGGTAACTGATAGTCGAGACACTCACTAAAGCGTATGATATGGATAAAGATTGCAAACCATAACTAGATAAACAGGATACTGATTATCTAAAGCTTATAACGTTTATCATCTTTTAAAAGAATAGCATTCTATTATCAGTAGGCAATCTAACGATTTCACGATGATGAAGCATATTTTGTAGAACACGCTGACGAAATGCCTCTTCTTCACATATATAGCTTTCCCGTTCTTCCGCACGAATCTCACGCAGAATAATACTTTTGCCGTACTCTAGGTTCTATATAAACACACCTATGTTACATATAAGGCCGAGACTATTGAGAGACTCGAACGAAACTATCTATTTGAACCCATTCGCAGTCGTTTGAAAGCGGTCCACTGAGTCGGTTGCTGATTGCTTCCGCCGTAGGAAAGCAGGCGAAATCAAAATGGTTTGTTGATATTTTGTGAATAAATTAGGCGAACAACAGAAAGCTTGTGAAGCTCTCGTTTCTGTATAAATTAAATTAAATAGTTAAGTCGGCCAAAATGCTTTGAAAGGTTAAAAGACAAGAATTCCGAGTATGGAACTAAATTAACTTGTTATCAGCTTATACTATTTCAGATTTCAGAGTCAAATGAAGGACTGTATGATTTCATATAACCTTCTAGCTTCAATTTATGTGAAAAACTTATATGAAAACTCTTGTATTTTACAGTGTTCAAGAAGTGCTCTGCGTATTTTTCTCCTGAGTCTGGTTGCTCTTCAGCAACTGGAGTTGGGTACTGGCTCCCGCATCCTGGCAGCCTTCTTTTTTCCTGGGAAGAGTCACTTCATGATGACCAATGCCATCATACGCGAACTGGTGAAGCAAGAACATGAAGTTACCTTCATCACTCCGTTTTCCTTGTCCAAGGAAAACCTCGGACCAAACTATAGGGAAATACTGATTCCTCAATACGATTTTTGGCCCGAACGTAAGTATTGTTACCATATAAATTCCTATATATCATCATCATCACTGTCTTATAGTTAAGGAGTTGTCCAATAAAAACACCGTTTTGGAAATGACTGATCTGCCAAGTTTTGCATTCCTCCGATTGGTCAATGTGATGGGTATCCACAGCACGGAGTTTGCATTCGAGCAACCGGAGGTTCAGGCCGTAATCAATGAACAGAACAAGGTTGGCAAATACGATCTGCTGCTGGCGGAGCAGTTCTTCAACGAGGGTGCCCTCATCCTGGGACACTTGTACCAGATCCCCATCATAACTGTTTCGACTTTTGGCAATGCTAACTACTTCAGTCAGATGTTTGGAATAGTGTCCCCTTGGTCATATGTACCACATGCCTTTATGCCCTACACGGACCGCATGTCGTTGTGGGAACGCATCGGAAATGTGGCCATCAGTGCAGCCGAGGATCTCATCAGAGAGTTCTCCTACTACCCCGGGCAAGATGCCGTCTTGAAGAAGCACTTCTCCAAACTCCTCGACAGAGTGCCCACAGTCAAGGAACTTGAGCGCAATATCTCTGCCATTCTGTTGAACACCTACGTGCCACTGGCTTCTTCGAGACCAATGGCATATAATATGATCCCAGTGGGCGGCTTGCACATTCAACCCCCGAAGGCGCTGCCGGAGCATCTGCAAAAATTCCTGGACGGAGCCACACATGGAGCCATTTACTTCAGCTTGGGTTAGTGCCTCATCCCTAAATTGAAAGTTGAATCTAAAAACTAATGACTCTATCTATTGCCGCATAGGCTCGCAGGTGAGAAGTGCCGATTTGCCGCCTGAAAAGCTAAAGATATTCCTGGAAGTCTTTGGCAGTCTGAAGCAGCGCGTTCTCTGGAAGTTCGAGGATGAGACCCTGCCCAATCTACCTGAAAACGTGAAGGTGCAAAGTTGGTTGCCTCAGGGCGACATCCTGGCGCATCCCAATGTCAAGGTTTTCATTGCCCATGGAGGCCTCTTCGGCACCCAGGAGGCAGTGTACAATAGTGTACCCATATTGGGAATGCCCGTCTACTGCGATCAGCACCAGAACATTAACCACGGTAAGAAGGCAGAATATGCGCTGGGACTGGATTACCGGAAAGTCACGGTGGAAGAGTTGCGAGGTCTGCTGCTGCAACTGATTGAGAACCCAAAGTACAGGAATAACATTAGGAAGGCCTCCCGGATATTCCGCGATCGCCCACTTGGAGCTATGGATACGGCCATGTACTGGATCAACTATGTGATCGAGCACCGAGGTGCTCCACATCTGGTGGCCGCTGGCGTGCAGCTGCCCTGGTACCAGTTCTACCTTCTGGACATTGTGGGTCTAGCTATCGCTGTGGTTCTCCTGCCAATCGTGGCTCTAATCCTGATCTGCCGCAGGAGCTCCAAGCCAAAGAGCACACCGACGAAGAAGGCCAAGAAGAATTAGAACCAAAACTTGAGTTTTATTTTTGTTAACAAAAGAGGCTACAATTATGTTAGATAGTTTCTTGTAATAAATTTTGGATAATTTCGTAATACATTTCTAGGGCACTAGACAGCTGGTAATTGATAACAAAGCTAACGAGTAGCGTGCAAAGACCGCCCGCAACTAACTGAACTGGATGCTGAAATAGGTCAGGAGAATTAGCTTGGGATCTTCGCAGGGCCTTTCTTCTGTCTTCTGGCCATTTCATAAGCTTGTTTTTGTGTGTGATTTGTTGTGCCTTGTGTTGTGTGAGTGTCGTGTGTGTTTGAGTGTGTTTCGGTGTGGGCAAGCGGCGATCTCTACTGGCTTATGACCATGGACTTCTTTACCTTCTTCTCCTTCCTCTCATGGGTGATGGTCACTTCCTCTGCGAAGGAAATAACAATGGTTAATATAACTTAGTTACGGATGAGGTTGGTTGCCTTATCCTCACCCTCGAACTTGCTGGGCAACTGCTTGATGGTCTCGATAGTCTTCACATTCTTCTCGCCGGGCTCGATGATCTCCTCCTCGTACTCCTCGATGATCTCCTCCTCGTCGGTGTCATCGGGATTGGACTTCTGGCTGGGCACTGGATCGTAGACAGTTTTCACGGCCTTCTTCACGATGCCCTCGGATGTCACGGTGGTGTAGTGGTACTCGGTGCCACCTTCGATCTTGATGGTCTCCACGGTGGTCACATCTCCGGGATTTTCGGACGGAACAATCTTCTTGGTGCCCGACTCGGACTTCAGCTTCTTGGTGGTGGACACGTTCTTGTGCTTCTCGGCATCCTTCAGGGTCTTCTTGTACTGGCGGATCTCCTCCTCGGTCAGCTCCACCTCCTCCTCCTCGTAGACAGTCTTCGAGGTGGTGATGGTCTTGCCGGAATCCAGCTGCGTGGAATAGGTGTACTCCACTCCGCCGGGCACACGCTTGGAGGCCACAGAGGTGGTATCGTTCTGGAAGAAGTCGGCGGGTGGTGGTGGGGCCGAAGACTTCGGCTTCTTCTTCTGCTTCTTGTCGCTGGTCGAGGTGTTCGAGGTGGAAGTGATGGCCTTGACGTTCTGCTCCTGCAGCGAGTTCTTGCGCACGGTGCGATTGTTCTCGGTGATCTCGATGTTCTGTGTCACCGACACCCTGCGCTCCGATGTGGTGGTGGAGTTGGTCTGCTCACCATAGTTCTGCACGACGTTCTTCTGCTGCTTCTGGACGATGCGACGGGAGGATTCCGTGGAATCGGTGGAGTCCACCGACGACTTCCTGGTCACTTTTTGCTTGTTCTTGTTCAGCTTGGCGGCCGTGTTCTCATCCACCTCCGTAGGAACGGAGTCGTAGAAGGTCTTGGTGCGAGTGCTGCGAGTTCCATCCTCGTTGATGGTGGTGTACACCTCCTCGTAGCCACCCTCGATGGCGCGGGTCAGCATGGTGGTGCGCTCATCGATGCGGATCTCCTTGCCCAGGCGCTTCTGGACCAACTTCTTGTTCTGCTGCTCCTTCTTCAGATCCTCCTCGCTAACGGGCTTGGGGTCCCAGAAGGTTCGCACCTGGGTCTTGACGGTTCCATTGGGCTGGGGGGAGGTGGTGATCACCTCGTAGCCACCCTCGATCAACTTGTACGTGGTGCTGGCTCCCGTGGCCTTGTCGAACTCCACCTTACCATCTTCGATGTCCGCGGAGGTCAGTAGCTCTGTGGTGTGTGGACGCATGTGTGTATAGTATATGGTATGGTATAAGGGCGGTATCATCCCAAGCTCCTGAGTGTGTGTTTGCATCTAGGGTTATCCAAAGCACTTGCGACTTACATCTAGTATTAGCTCTTGTCTTACACTATACACTAAGTCTAGGATATTGCATGGTTTCCTTTGTAAGGCAGCGTGGTATTTGGGTAAACCAAGGGACCCTTAGACGTTCTCCATAAAGTCGTCATCAGTATCGCTTCCAGAAATTTCACTTACTATGCACTTTACATTAGGTTTCTTTTTAAGCACCAAATTTCAAGCATTCAAAGCGATTTAAAATTCAATGGCAATTCAAATGCCAGCCTAATTTGAAGCATTCTGCTTTAAATACAAAACTTAATAAAAAAAACGCCTATATTAATCTTTGGTGTCCTGAAAAGTTAAATTTGACTTTACATTTAGTGCGATTTTGTTTACTTGGGAGACTTCGTCTAAGAGCCACTTAGCAAGCAATTTGTACAGCATTTATCGTGGCCTACGCTTTGTACTTTCTCGGATCTGTCTATCAATCGTCGGGTTAGACGTGGACGGGTTGGGGTTCGGTATCCAGATTGGGTTCCAGCCGCCGGTACTGCGACTTGCAGCGGCACGCCAGGTGTGGCAGGCAGCTGTAGTGCATCAGCAGCTTCAGTAATTGCTATTTGAACTTGCGGGCGGACCGCTGTTTGCCGCCCTTGGATACGCCGTCATTTCCTCCGCCTGGCTGCATCCTGATGTGCTGCTGTGTTGGCTGCGGCTGCGGCTGTGGTTGTGGTCTCGCTTCCAGTTCCGTTTCCGGTTCCGGTTGGAGATGCGGTCGCTCCTGTCTCTTCTGTGGATTCTGTTTCAAGGAGGCGGTGGAGGAAGGTGATGCATTCGCAGGCTGTTTGTTAGTTGCTGGGGAGGTGAGATGAGACTGGTCGAGATTGGATCCACTCCCATTCGCCCCATCCGCCCCATTCGCTTTCATCGCCTTTGAAGATGGGGATTTCTTGGGCGGATTCAGCAGCATGCTGGCGGCTTCGTTTAGCAACTGAGCTGAGCTTAGTGGGTTAGCGGGGTCACTATCGTTATCATTATCTGCAAATGTGGTTAGGGGTAACGAGACAGCAGTTTTAATTCGATTCAGCTACATCGTCTACGATGCTGTGATGCTGTGATGCTATTGATGCTGGTGATGACTGACTGATGGCTAAGATGCAATGGGTGAATGGTGCTGGCTCTTATGGCTATGTGATGGTTCTAAGACCTCGAACTTAGACCCATGCTTTCCATGGCTAGGATGGCTTAAAAGTACACAACTGAAAGGGCGACAAAAAGTGATAAAAGAACGTAACGTAACTTAACTGCTAAAATAAAAATGCATATTGGAAAACAGAGTTTCGTAAATTGAAAATTGTTGTTTGTGTTGTTTGGGGTTTCTTTGTTGTTGTTCTCGAATAAATATTACGACAATATTTGCAAAATGTAAATTATAACATAAATGGTATATATACGTATTTAGATAGAAAAGTTAGGCTGCCAAAACACTTGAAACAAACATTTGACGCTCAGCTCGAATTCGATCCGAAATGTGGGCAAAAGGGGGGCTGGGCACTTCGCACACACTCTCACACACACACACACACATACAGATACACAATAGCCACAAAATGTGGGCTACAATTTCAGTTTTGATTTTTACTTTATTTTAAATGGTTTTCGTTTATCTTTTCTAGAGTTATTGTATACACTCATTGTTAGCATTTTATTCATTGGAAAAACATATGTACATATGTGTTGGGAGAGGGGGGGAAAAGGCAGGGAAAGGGGAGGCAAGGACAGGAAACGGCCTTTATGCCACAATGAGTTTTGATGCAGATGAGCTGGAAAGTCATCGCATAAATCGGTAAGCACACGGGAGGGTGAAAGTACAAAAATTTCAATTAAAATACAATGAAGTGTAAAACTTTGTGGCCGGGCCAAGTGTGCTCATTTTTTCTCGATTTTGTTCTAGGGACGCGGAGGGGAGGGCAGGGGGCTTTGGGGCAGGCGATTGGGGCAACTGTGCCAAGTGTGTCGCCCACATACACATCGCATCACAGCACGTATGTCGAGAGCAGCAGCAGTAGCAGAAGTGCAAAAAGTTTAATTTGAAAACTTAATTAAAATTCTCTGCTTTCCCGCTCATTCTTTTCAGCAAGATGCGTGTGTGTGTGTGTGCGTGGGTGTAAGGGGAGGCAAATAAAAATTGCATTTATGACACTCTGAAGAATTCGTTTCGACAACATTTTTTTGGCCAAACCTTAAAATTCAATTAGACCGGGTGCGCCTTGACATTGGCAACAATGCGCCTGCCTCCCAAGGGGAGTTGGGTTGGAAATACGATTGTGTGCGTGTTTGGCTCTGGTCTGTGTGTGGGGCTTTCGTTTTAGGAGAAGGGGAGCAGTGGGGCCGCAGTGGTGGAGTGTGTACATGTGTGCGTGTACAAGAAAAAATGGCAACAAAACGACGAATAACGAACGATTTGCATTTGTTTGTTCTGTTAAGTTTCGGTCTTGTGTCTATGAGCTACCAGTTTCTTCCGACTCCTTCTCGGTCTTCCGCTCCAGCGTCTGCGATATCTTCTTCCATATGTTCTCGAACGAATCGGCGCCGGAGTAGTCGATCTGTCCGGACTCCCAGCACTGGCGGCGCATCTGGTTCTCGTAGGCCTCCTGTTCGGGAGTGCGCTGCTGACCGATGCGGAGCTGTGACAGGGCACCAGCCAGACCCGCCTGAAAGTATGTTAATTAAATTGATTCGGTGCTTGGTTGCGTTGGGGCGGCGAAGGGGAGAATATACATATGTAGTTGGGTGTTTTAGGACATTTCATGCACTACGGACTAAACTAGTACTAGAACGCAGACGAGCGGTTGACAACATTGAGATGTTAGTTACGGTGCACAGGGCGTATGATTAATGTGACAACAGAGTGCAACTCGAGGCATAAATCAAGTATACGACGCGTTGAGCTCCGGCTGCTTGCGTTTGCAATGCGTGTCCCTGCAACTCTCTGGCAGATTACTATGTGAAAGTGGGCTGAATGGAGATGCAGGTGGCTATACAATGGGCATGCAACACGAGGATGGAGTGCCTGCTTTTGCTGCGCTTGGTTTCCAAGATGATGATTATGCTGTGGGCCGAATGGGGAGCGAGCTCCCCATGTTCCATCTACATTACTGCTTGACCAGGTGCCAGGCCAACTAATAATAAATCAACAAATGCCCTTATCCAGGCCACAAACACAACGCTGAACCGTGAACCATGAACCATGAACCAAGTACCAAGGACCAGGGACCATGAACAATGAACGATGACCGCAGGACAATGAAGACGACAATGACAATTCGTATGCAAAACAGTGACTAGACGAAAACCAGGACATTACATTATCACTATCACTTGCACTAGCACTTTTACACTTGCACACCGTTATCCAATGCTGTTGGTTTGTTTGGTTGGGAATCGGGATTCCTACACAGAAAAAATGTCACTCTGCTCGTGAAATATTCAGATATTTCATTTTGCATGAGTTGCGATGAAAGCCATATAATAATACAAATTGCTATTTTTTTTTGTTTTGCTTCAGGCTGTGTTGGATTGAAAACCCATCTAACAGTAGCAGGACTTTTTTCTGTGTAGTTCTCAGGCCAGGTTTTGATTGATTGCCTTTACCTCAGGCGGCGTTGTGGCTGCAACTTCATGTTCTTGTTGGTGGTTTGTCGCTTTTTCTACTGTCTGACTATGCACGGAATGATGAGGCGAGGGCGTGGGCGTGGGCGTTTGCGAGGGCGTGGCAGTGGCAGTGGGCGTGGGCGTGGCTGTGTCGGAGGAGGAGAAGGCGTGTTCAGGTGGCTGTGAAACGTTTAGCTCATTGCTATTCACATCTACGGATGAAAAGTCTTCGGCATTGGCAGTGGCATTGGCATTGTGGGCTTGATTTTGGGTTTGGGGCGAAGGACTCGTCGGCGGAGGTGGGTGGCATGCATCGTCATGATGCCATTTAGTGGCATTCGCGCTTGCATTTGCATTTGCAATCGTGCTATCATTCTCATTTTCAATCTCATTCGCAATCGCAGCTGCATCCGCATTCCCATTGTCCTGGCTGTGATTCTGGCTGGGATTGTGGTGCTGCTGCTGCTGCTGATGCTGCTGATGCCGCTGTTGCTCCTGCTCCTGCAGCTCCTTCTCCAGATTCTCATAGTAATCTGCCCAAGGATCGCGGAACTGGCGCACATGCAACAGATTGTGGTGCAGCTGCTGCTGCTGGTAGAACTCATGCTGCTGCCGCTGATGCAGCTCATCCGCCGCGAATTCGCTTTGCGTGCGTATTATATTTAGGCAAAGGCACTGAGACAATGTTAGATATACAGAGTTATATGCGCGAGTTATATGCGATACGGCAGTCCACGTATTATTTATGGCAAAGTATAATTTACAGAATGCGCAACATAGGAGAGCAAGAGTTGGAAAATAAAGAGTAAATGAAAAGTAAATAAATTTGCAAAAATAAAAAACCCAACGGCACGAACATAACAAGGGCAGAAGTGAAAAGTACACACAGAAAAAATGTAATAATTTAATAATAATATTCAACAAATTATTTTCTTTTTAGTTTTTCTTTGCTGAATTTAGAACAAGATAATAATCAATAATCTTGCTTCAACATTATTGATCAATAATATATACAAATTTCTTTGTGTGTACCAAAAGGAGATCCCCCACGAATGCGTGCTAGCGTGTGTGTGTGTGTGTGTGTTTGTGTTATGGGATATATCTAATGATTCAGTTGAATTTTTTGGCATCACCCGCAACCGACCATCTTGATTTGAATCATTTCCATCTATCGATGGCGTAAGCCGAAACATTTTCCTGGCTCTTGGCCAAATCGATGCAAATTAGAAAGGGAAAAAAACATAAAGAAAGTGAACACTAAGACGAGTACACACACACACACACGAGACACACACAGTTGGACAAATATTACAAAAAAAATACAGAATAAATAAGTTGGGGCCAAAAAAGTAAAAGCAAATGTAGAAAAAAGAGAAAAGAAAAATGGGTTACTCTGGGGCGTGGCTGCTAATCGAGGAAAAATCAACAGAAAATTGCAAACCAATACAAAAAAAAACGAAAACAAAGTATTCAAACCGAGTAGATAGAAAAGAGGCGGGAAATGAAACGATATCGAGGCCAGCTATCGGCAAGAAATAAATGGCAAATAGATCGAAACTGAGTTTGTTTGCTTGGGTTATTTACTTGGCGCACAGAAAGATGGATGAATTGATAGATAAATAAATAAATATTTGAGTTATAATTAAGATATTTACACAGGGGTGTGCTCAAGGTATCTACAGATCTGGTGCGATATGGTTCGGCAATTGAAGATCTGCTTACCTCTGAAGTGGACCCTTGGGCCATTTCTCCCTCGGGTCGATCACTAGCAACATATCCTGGCGTTTGCTTGCGATTAGCGGGTTAGAAAACGAAGCAGGGGTTTTGTTTTTGAGGATTGGAGCAAATACATTGGGTTAAACAGTAAAAATCTTGGGTTAGCTTCAGTATGGCGTTCAAAAACAAGGGAAGACATAAGATTGTTGGGGCCAAGTAACGCTGGAAATCTCCAAGATGTGCGTCATCCATTTTATAGATAGCACTTACCATTTCGGTGGACAGGGACTGAATGACATTTTCGCAGAAGATGTTCCACCACAGCTGGATCAGATCCTGGGCATGGGCATACTCCGACGAAACGCTGGCCACCTTTGTCTCCGAGTTGAACTGAATCAGCCATGGCTTCAATTTGCCGGCGAAATGCAAAATCTTAATCTTATCTCTGAACCTGCAAGCCAAATGCCATTACAAGCTGCTTGGTCAATTCCACAGAGATGGCGAACTTACTGTTTGAAGGCGGGCAGATAACAGTACGAGGCATAGGCCGTCACATTGTACACAAATGGCAAATGCTTCTTGATGTCCGCCGTCGACCAGTCGGCAAAGAACTGATTCAGCAGACCCTGGTCACCGCCATCGAAGCTCCCATTCTTCACGGCGAACTCTGTGATCTGGGCAAAGGTGTCCACGCTCGGCTTGAAGACAAACACGCCGGAGTTGAAGCAGTCCGGCCAGCTGACATCCGGAGCAGCCGACAGTTCCTCGCGCTCGAACAGCTCGTCGCAGTTTTGCAGGACCTACGGAATTCAAAATATTCATTCAATATACGTGTTACAATATAAATGAGTTTTGCTTCAGGTGCATGTAAGGAGAAGTAATTAGGTAAGCCTCCAGTACAAGTTGTGCATATCTTACCAGAGTATCCGCATCCAGGAAGACGCACTTCTCGAACTGGACGAGGCGCCAGCAGTGGAGCTTTGTGAAGGTCACGCCCAGTTCGGGGCGGGAGAGGAGCGCCAGATTGGCGGCATCCTGTGAGTCGAGCACATTGACCTCCTGCACCACGTTGTAGACCTCCTTCAGTCGGTCGCGCATCGCCTGCGAGACGTTGGGCGAGACCAGAACGGCCAGCTGGTGGGCGGTCTTGGCCCTTTTCAGGGAGTGGGCCAAGACCAAGGCACCCAGTGAGTACGTGTCATTTGTCGTCAGCGTCACCCAAGCGAACTCTATTCGGAACGAGATACAGAGATACGATTGCAAATTAAACGCTATAGATGTGTGGCTCAGAGATACGGCTAAAGTCAGACATACAAATTGGGTTACAACACAAAAAGATACTGTTGCACTGCACGTTTCACTGCAGCATTTGGCTGTATTTATTAGTTTCGGATTCAGCAAAAAAACGTTATGGATTATAAATAAACAAGCGATTCTCTGGGTTCCCCATTCAAAATAGAACAGATATCTATGTACATGTGTTCAAGTGGTGTGTGCAGATCTCCAACTGCGTCAGCATCGCCCACATGCAACCGAAATTCATTTGCTTTGTTAGCGCGGATAAAATTGCAAAAAAGAAATCCATAAAGAATTGCCAAAATCGAGCAGAGCATATTTCAGGCGCGCCCAAACGGGCAATTAGAATTTTGCGTAGTTGGCATTTAGTTGGGCAAAAGCTGTAGATAATTATTCATGGCGGTGGCTAGGATAGATGTATCTATATACACGTTCATGGGGCGATTATGAGTTTGATTTTTTTTGTTTGTTTGTTTGGGTGCAGATTTCTCACTCGATGGGGAATTAGTTCTTTCTAGATTAGGCCAGAATCCGTATGGTACACAATTTTCAAGTGAATTTCAAAGAAATTCTTGCTTTTATAAAGTATTAAACCATGCAGACTTGCTGTTTAGGTAATTAAAAATTCATTAGAGTTAAGATAGATAAGACGTACGATTATTTTTTATTTCCAATTTCGATTATTGACAAGTAAATGGAATTTAGAACACTATTATTCGGGTATTAATGCTACAAATCGGTATAGATAGATAGATGGATATATATACAAGTGTGTATATATATGTTATATTCTTGATACATTTCGTTGTGCTAACTTTAGTCGGGTTAAGTGTCAGATTAGAGTTCTGTTTACATGGGCTTGGTTTTTGTTGGTTGTTTGGTTTTAGAGAAGCGAACTGAAAAGGAACTGTGAAGCGTAGGATACAACAAGTAGGTGGATAACAACAACTACCTTCTCGCATTCAGATACGGATGTGGACACATTACGGATGCGGATGCGCATTCTGATGGTAACTGCTGCACAGCGAGCTAATCAGCGGCAATCAAATGCATTCGCTAGGCTGAACTTGATCTCGGTCTTGATCTTGATTTGGACTGAGATCAGGACTATCTTTATCCTCCGCCGGATTCTTTAATGTGTGTGTGTGTGTGAGTGTGACTGTGTCTTGTATTTGCATTGGTGTGTGTGCGGGTGAAAGATACACAGATGCGTTCTTTTCTATTTGCGTGTGTGTGCTTGTGAAATGATTCGTTGGGCCTAAAATAAAAATGAAATCATTTACTTTCGGCAAAAACTAGAATGGATCTTAATAACTTCTGACTTACCGGATGTGTGTGCGAAAAATGACAAAATATTTCACAAAACAATAAAACTTATGTGGCAGAACGGTGAAAAGGAATTTTCAGCAATCGTCATAAATTTGGCGATTTAAACAAAATTAAATAAACAACACTCGGTCTAAATATACCATTTCAACAACTGTTGAAATTGTCAAAATGAATGCGTCGCGACATTTTACTTAAACATATGCTTAGCACGAAAACTTAAAAATAGGTAAATTAGCAATTTATGTGACAGCTAACTGTGCGAAAATTCCTTAACTTTTTGACAGTGTAGGAAGAGAGAACTCTCTTCTGAGAAATGCTCTCTCTTTCACTCTCTCTTTAGCTCTCGCTTCGCTGAGCAGAGTTTGCGCTCTGGTTTCTTCTACCCGCTTTCATCAATTGCGTATGGCCGTAGCACAATAAAGCTGATAAAGCGCCCTGCCAAAGTGATTGGGAGAAAAGGTCGGGGGTTGAGCTTTTGGGTCTGGGTCAAGTGACTGAACAAATTCCCGTTCAGGCGTGATGAGGCCCGGATCAGATTAACGCCAGACACCACAATGAATGGGGTCACCAATTAGATGAATGGGGAGCCCAGACCTTGAGGGAGCCATCCCTTCCCTTACAGAAACCCGTTTGTCAGGGTCCCCATTAAAGCATCGCAATAATTTGCAGCCGGCGCACAAGAAGTGAAGTACAGTCCAACCTGGCTCATCATAACTCTTTTGCAAATTATGTATAGGTAGCTCTACAAATTGTAGGTCACCCCGATAGTTTAAGTAACTTAAAGCAAATATCATCCTATATGTTATATGCTATTGACTAGCAGGAGTTCGTTTTATCCATGCTGGCCTGTACGCTGAAAGTGCATAATGGGATGTGAGGAAGGGAGTGGTTCCTCCGCCGGCGACACCAACGCACAAATTGGCGAGTGCAAGGCGCGGAACGAGTTCTGCGGGAAACCTCAGCAGGCGACGTGTGTATCTTGTGGATGCCGATGCTGTATCCGAAAGAGCAGTTCACTAAAAATAGCGCCGGCGAGGCGAAGTAAAATGAAATGAGGATTGTGTCTGCTGGTTGGTAGGCGATGCATTGGATCTGTTCGGTACAGGCGACGCAGCAATTTTAGAAAATTGAATCACCATGGGACTCATGGATGTTTTTGGATGTGTACGTGTGGATGGGTGACCGAAACGCGAGATGCTGGAGATCCCTGCGGGCTAGAAAATTGAAGGCAGCTGCTGTGGCCGTAGGCTGATGATTAATGCGGGCATAAATCCGTGCAGATTTAATGGCGTTTCCAAGGAAAGAGAAAAATGTGAGAGATCACACACACTTTACTAGTGGGCGAGGCGACACAAAAGAATGTTCTCGGGCGTGGAAAACTTTTCGAAAAGCAAATATAATATTATTTTCGAAACGGAGCAAACTTGTTAGTGCCTGTCGCCAGCCATAATTCCGACCCATACATACATATCGAACTTATAAATAGAATCACATCCCCATATAGATTGTGAAAATTATTATTGTGAAAATTATTATTAGTATGTAGGTATAGGTATATATGGTCAAACAAGATCGCCGGACGTCAGCGAATGCGTGTGAAAAATGCCAAGGCGAAGTGCATCCCTTAATGGGCCGCTAATCTCAATGGGCTGCAGATGCGGAAATAATCGCATCGCTGATAAGGCGGATGGATGATAAGGCGGCTAATGGCGCTAAGTGGGATTACCGGGTCACCCAGCCAGCATTGCGACAGGTACAAAGCGCAGCAATCAATGTAATGGAATCACAACAAAACGGAATCACCATAACTTTAAGCTCTCCCTCTCCCTCTCTCTCTCTCTCTGTCCCTCTATCACTCTCTTCTTGAAGGTTATGTGAGCTTCGCGTTATCAGCGATTTTGTGCGCAAACTTTTCATAAACAAACAAATATGCCAGACGGCAACCAACGTTTTGGTTTCCAGTGCAATGTACGCATTTTTGAAATGTTTTCCTGCACGTTAGTGTTTCAAAATAGAGAGAAACTGAGCGGGAGAGAGCGGCGAAACGGGGGGTGGTGATGGTGATGGTGATGGTGATGGTGATGAGGCGGGGGGCCGTGGGCAGAGCAGTACGCTAGTGAAGGTCAGTAAAGGTCGTAGCCGCACACCATCGCGCGCGCTCTATGCTCGATTTATAATTATATATATTATAGTAGTGCGATTATCGCTATGATTTCGATTCAGCTTCTGATTTTGCATCCGATTCGGATTCCGATTCGAATTTTGCATAACTCCAACCTGAAGCGAGTGTTACGAAATGGAAGGAATGGCGATTTGTTGGTTGATTGATTAGCAGGAAACGCCAAAGGAGCTTTAACTTAGGGCAGTCTGTTCTACCGACTTTTCAGTTCTCAGTTTCCAGCTTTAGCCATGCATACACACACACACTCTCTTTTTTCTTTTCTTGCTTTTCATTTTGTTTGCTCTGGATTTGGTTGTGACCCAACTTACTGCTCATTTTGTTAGGATTTTATTTGATATATTTTTTGGGGGGGTAAACTCGATTTTTCGGGACACTCGCGAGAATTTTCCGGCGGGCGGTGGGTGGCTCAGCTTTCACACTAAATTCGAGAACGAGAGCGGCGTTTGCGATGTGCCTTCCACGAGCGATGACGAGAATCTGAAGCGGCTGTTCGACTGCCGTTGGCATAAATGCCTAAATGCCAATGCAGAGGCACCGGCAGCGCAGTCGACGTCGTTGGCCACCACAAGAAAAGCCGGTGGGAGATTTATTGTACCCCCTACTCGTGAAATATCAAGGGTATATAGGGCGCGTGTTCTAGCTGCACAAATTTATAATTGGAAAAAAATAACAAATAAATAATTTGCGACTTCCTTGCTCTCGCCTTTTAAGTAGGCAACATAAACACCATAATACAAAAATATAGGTACGGGGTATTTTATAGTCGACATACTGGTGCAGTGTAAATACTATATCATTCTTTCTGGTTTCATATACTAATGTGAATGTGTGTGTGAGCAGGAAGGCGCCAAAGAAAAAGTATTTTGCATTCCGCTTACTTATATTTCACTTCTATTTATGCTTCTTCTTTACTCGCCGGCTATGAACGTAAAAGAGAGAGGCGCAGAGAGAGAGCACGATAAAAAAGGTGCGAAAGGAAAGTCATCAAAAGCGAAAATTGAGTAGTAGTGGTAAAAGCGCCGAAGAGCGACGACAATTAACGAAAGCATTTTAAGAGAACGCAAACCGAACAAAATGTCAAGAAAAAATTATTTAAAAACGTAACATTTATATATCATATATTAAAATCAAGTTAATTAAGTGGATTTTAGCAATTTGCTAATTCGATTAAGACGAAGTTGTCGAGTGACAACCGGCACTAAGCCGGTAAAACCATTGCATACTTGTTGGCTGTGATGGAAAGGCTTCCTTCGAGTTGGTTACAAAATAGACTATCTACTTTCAGGCTGATGTACTTTAAAATAATACCATATTAAACAAATTTAAAATTTAAATAAATAAATAGCTTTAAATATATTCAATGTATTTATTCAATGTATTTCTCGGAATTTATTTTCTTATTGATATAAAATCTTCTAGTTCAAACTCGATACAGTTTTTTCTTGTTTAAATCAATTTTTTATTGTCATTCGTTATAAAAAATCGAACCCTTTGCAGAGATACTAAATCTATGTTACGTATAAAACCAAATAAATAAGCGATGGCTTTTGAGCAAGGCAATTTTCTTTGATGGCGCTGTTTTTAGTTTTTGGTGATTTTGTGTGATTTTTGGTAAAGGATTCAAGGCAGTTTGCTAGGTAGACGGTTGTCCTAAGCCTAAACTAAGGCGTAAATGGTAGGTAATAAATAACTGGCCCCTAAGTCTAACTAAGCAACTAATTAACTAACTAAAGTGCTATTTTCGGGAAGTATCACAGTGCAGAGGCTCGTCCTCCGGCTGACGGTTGTTGATGGCGTTTCTGGGCGAGATCACAAACGGCTTTCGCTTCTGGGCATTCCTCATTCGTCGCTGGGCTCGTTTTCTCCTACAGTGTATCACGCAGAAGATGACAACTGTGGGGGGTGGAACATGTATTTACTTATGTCGAATAGAACTCATTTTTAGTATAGCTAACTCACTTAAAAGGACCAAACAAACTCCGCCGAAACAGCCAGCTCCAAAAAGCCAAAAGCTGCGCGTTTCGGCAAACTGCAGTGTCGTCTGGCAACTGGCGAATGTTGGCGAATGGATCGTCCGATTGTAGGGCAGTGGACATTTGCGAATGTCGAGCGCCTCTGAAAATGGAATTGCAAGTTGGTCATGTGCCAAAAATAAGCAGCTGCTCCGACTGCATCGTCTCCATTGCCCATCCATCGCACTTACCCAAGCAAACTGGTACGAACTTCGGACTGGCGCCGAGCATCATGAGATGGTTGGTGACCTGCTGGCAGCCACACTTGCTCAGCTCCGACTTGGTCAGATCGATGACCTGCAGATGGCACATATTCGCCAGGCTGTCGATGCTGAAGTTATGCAGCGGATTCATCGAGGCGTTTAGTTGCCAGAGCTCTGAAGGGGATTGATCGACTTGAGATGAATTCATATCTTTAGAGAGGCTTACTCACTTGGAAGTATTCCCAAGTCGGGTAACTCCTGCAGCTCGCAACCTGCCACGTTCAGGTACTCCAGTGGAGCTCGGATGGGCTTCTCCAGTGCCTGCAGATTAAGAGATGTCAGCTCGTTGCTGTCCATGTAGAGGTTTCTCAGGCGAGGCAGCTGAAACAGCTCCAGTGGAATTGTAGTCAGTCCATTATTCGAAAGATCAATTTCCTGGGAATTTCGATTAAGAACTTAATTAAAGACACACTCGCTGATTAATTGGATGTCGTTGTTACCTGGAGCGAGGTGAGTGACTCGAAGGTTCCCACCTCCACCGATAAGATCATGTTATCATAGAGCATCAGAAACTTAATGTCCGTGTACCTCTGAAACGAGCTAGTTTTCAGTTTCCTGATGCGATTGTGCGATAGATCCAGAACCTGCAAACATGGCCACCAAATTGTGAGATCATTTAGTTCGAGTAGAGAGTTATCAATGGGATGGGTAGGGTGGGGTTCCCATACACGACGTATATGTATGCATGTAATGGATAAATTTATGTTTGTGGGCAACTTCTTTATTCTTTAATTAAGCTCAATTGAGGCTAACTGTGACGAGGGGTCCAGTAACAACCACGTCTGATCGCCTGACCCCGCGATCGTTACTCACCTCCACCGAGGTCTTCAGGTTCTGGGGCACCTCCTTGAGGTCCAAGTCGTAGCATCGAATGCGCAGCAGCTTATCGATGTGGCCGTAGCTGCACTTGCGCACTTCCGGCTGAAGGATGAATCCGGCGGAACGCCACAACTGGAGGCACACGATGAACGTCAGCAGCTGCCAATGTAGGTCCATGCTCTGCCAAAATCAATGGACACATATCGATAAAAATGTAGACCTAAACTAAGGGAGTTCATTTTGGCGCCAACTTGTTTATTTTCTTGATTAAAGCTATAACAATAAATTTAAGCAAACAATCGCCCATGGGCGCGTCAAAGCGTTTATTTTCGAATTAACAATTTACAAGATCATTGCCGATCGCTGGGGGTCTGGGTCTGGGTTGGTATTTTGGGGGTGAATGCGGATCCGCATCCGAAGCTGAAAGCGTTCAATCAAGCGAATCTCCCGCACCTGGCAGATAGAATTTACCCATGGCAGCACAGATACAGATACAAACACTGAACACTGCTGCAGATCAAACAAAGCTCGAATTCGAAGCCTAGGTCAGCTGTTGGTCTGCGTATGAGCGATGTTCATATTACGTATACGTAACACACAATCAGTGTCATTCCCGCTGCATTCATGCACATCAACAAAAGATGATTCCGCATTGCGGCGGCGGAAACAGTTGCGGCCCTATAATAATAATAAAAGCAACTAGCCCGAAAATACCTGACTCACTGTCTAATAGATATAGATCCATTTTGGGAGAGTCTTGCCTTGTACAATATCTTATCTTTCTGCATGTATATCTTTTGATTCTACATCAAACAGCGAAAGGGGTGGCTATAAATCATACAAATATTCCATTAAAATGCTTTTATGGCTCTTTTCAATATGTCAGATTCACAAAAGCATTTTCCGAAATTTGCCAAAAAAAAAAGTATGCGGTAAACTGAAAGCCAATAATCAATTATGGGCCAGAAATAGGAATGCTTCAACGTGATGTATACCCCAGGATAAGTACATATATCTTGACATGATCTGGGCATGTAAGCCCACTCGAAATGCACATTTGGGAATTGGAAATGGCCAGAATCCATTGTTAATGTCTCTGTCACGCCCCATTGAAGGGCAATTAGAAAATTGCACGTTTCCCAACTTTGTATCAGCTGCCTTTGCGTGATTTCGCATTGTGAAAAATGTGAAAATGAAAACCGAACCTCATGAGTAATGTCTTGAGTATTGTAATTTTGCATTTGTGACATTCGGGCTAATTGCTGTCGCAGCTGAAGTTTTCATCATTTCGCTCAACCATGCTGAAATTCTCTAGAAATCAATTGTGGGTCAGCAAAAATGGGTAGTTCTATTTACACGAAACTCAAATGCTTGCCAATGAATGATGAACGACAGCGTAGATATCCATTCATATTGGCAAATCACTTTGAGCCCGTCCAAGTGGCGGAATGAAGACGTATGGAGCCCCCAGTTGGCCGATAACATCTACGCCTCCTACAAAGACAACAAAAGAGTGCTAATCAATTATAAAGTTAGTAAGCATTCGTTGGTCATACTAGCAGCGATGGCTTGGTAAAATAAAAATGATTCATGGTTCCCATTTAGCCATTATGATTCGGCCATTTATTAATTTTTGTTATTTTCCAGCTAGCTGAAGTGTCTTGGCCTTTGACCAACAAATGTTTCGCTCCACTTGAGAGGCATGTGCTCTCAAAAAAGAAAACATAAAAGATGGGAAACAGTTCTGCCCATAAGATTGCACCACTAGAGGCGCACAACCTGGCGCACACTTTTGCCACCCAGTGTGCGCCTACCTCTGTCATTAGAGCCGCCTGTCGAATCAGCGAAAAAACGAAGCAGAAAATATCAAAAGAAATATTGAAGCTATTTCCACACTTTTTCGGACTGACAGCAACCGCAACAATGGCTATAAATATATTTCATATATTTAAATTGAAATTAACCATAAAAACCAAAAACGGCGGCCAGAACGAGATGGCAGCATAAACAGTGGCGACCAAATGCAAACTTTTGGATCTGAAGAGATTGCATCCCATCCCCGGCTGAATTTATTATACAATTTTCGTTGGGGGGCTGAGTATTCAAGGAAACTGGCCATAAAAAGGGCTAATGCCAGGCACCAAATGGCATATCCACTCGGCTATGGCCGTAAAAGTGATCCCGACCCGCAAATCAAATGGAGAATCCGAATTAGCCTTAGACATTGTTCATTTTGGAGGTGGATTGGTTGGGGTCAGAATTTATGTTTTCCACTTTCGCCGCATTTGTTCAGCTTCAATATTTATTTATATATTAGGCCCAATCAGGCGGCGGACCAGACAAACAATGGGAAACGCGAATGGGGTGGCAGAAATGGGTTACGGATCGGAATGGTCCAAGGCGCTAGCGATTCACCCAGCTCTCCGGATCCGACGTTCGACCAACGGATTGCAGCCTGCCCAATATGATAAATATGACGAGGAGGGATTATTTATCTGTTCGCCGGGCCAAGCGATTATTGGGCTAACAAAACGCAACATGAAATCGAAAATCCCCCTAAAAAATGGGTGGCGTACCAAAAACAAAAAAAAGGGAAAAAAAACACGAAATTAGTATCAAATATTTTAATAACATTCTAAACATTTGTGAATGGATTTATGTGCTCTTGTGATAGTTCCTGTCACACATTGTGGGCGTCGCAGAAGTAGGCATATATTATCGGGTATACCCCGTCCAATCAGCATATATATCTTTCAGTTCCACCCCCTCCCTTGCCGACCCCCAACAGGTGTGTGCGCTGGAGGGCCCCTTAGATTTATTCACTTTTCTCGTACGTACGATAAAGATTTATTTGTTTGGACTCTTCTCAGATGCAGTGATGAAACTTCGCTTGAGACAACCTTCCTATCTTGGCTACCTTCTCGTCCCCTCAGAAATGCCATTGGGTAAGAATCATATTTTCCTAAAAAACCGAAGCTTATCAGAGTACGTCAAGTGCTCTTATCTGGTAAGTCCCCGTTCTGCTGATAACTTCTTTATAACTTGCGATGCGAAGAACAAAAAAAACTAATGGAAGTGGCCCCGTGAAGATTGGGGTAGCATAAAAAAACGTTGTTCATTTATTTCAATTAAACACAATCAAGAAAACATTTCCCCAGCGACTGAAAAAAAACGATAAACAAAAGAATCAACTACTCTTCTTTAGAGGAATGCAAGTCGAAAATATCATATTTCGATCAAGCTGAATGTTTATTTGCACGTAAACTTTGAATAACTACGACTCCAAGTTGCAGTGAAAGTATTATTTATGAATACGACATTTTGTATAGCTTTACATTGTTGAGAACGTTTCCTTTCTTGCGGCTTTAGTTACTTTTCTAGAACACTTGCTGTAAAGACTAGTCTCTGCCTTGATAAGCAGGTGTTCCCTACGTGTTTTTACCAGAGTTTATTACTGAATAAACACCCATGCTTTTCCATCCCCAACCGTTTCTCTTCGTATATACATTGCGAGTATATAGTAAAACTTTTATTTTATCTGCAAGATATGTATAGCACACACAGAATGCCTTCAATTGCCGTTGTGCTGCCTCCCCTAATTGAAATCAATTTAACTTGGATTCTATCGCATTATGCTGTCGTGGAGAATCTTTTGAGTGTGGACACCATGGTATACAGCACTGGACAAAATCCAGAGACTGAGACACATTTCAATGCTAAGTTTCCTGATTAGAAAATTCAATCTAGCTCACACAGCTGTTGTGCAATCTAGTCGTAGTTCTACCATTCACGATAACCCGCCAGACCCTAAATAAGTAAAAAAAAAACCCAATAGTGCCGAAAGAAATGTTTCTGTCCGCTTACCGCTGGGGAAATTCAAGTGTTCAGGTATAATCCCATTTAAAGTCGAAAACGATAATCCTTGTAAGCTGGCAGGACTCTTGTTGGTTCACTACACACACATCACTGTATATTCTTAGACGATTCTTGGATTTGTGTGCTCTTTACATATATGTATTCCTAAGCACTTTAATATTTATTAATTATTAATATTTATTAATTATTAAGCAGTTATGATTACGCCGTAGAATGATATGGGAAGCGTTACGAGGCGCGCACGTTGGCCGGAACCGTTCAATTCAACCGCAGACACAGAATTGAAACGATCGGTTCAGTTTTGGGCCTTTCGGACTCCGACGATCCGACCGCCCGCACGAGCACTCACACCGAAAAACGCTGTTAAGCGTTGACACCGCTGCACTAGGGAAATTCGAAAGGAAAATTCGGAGTGGAGAGCGAGAGAGAGAAAGTAGCACTCTCTTCGCCAAGGCGCGATGATAACAGCAATGGAAACTGATACACTGCGCGGAAACTGGAAATTAAATTGTTTTCGAGATTTTGACAGCTCGAATGGGGATATTTGTGATTTTGCCGTCCACTCATTCAATTAGCAAGTAACTGATAATCGAAATCGATCCGGCGGTATCTAATGAAGCATCCACGCCAGCTGAATATACAGTTGTAAACGCGTATGAATGATATCTCGACTAACCAATAGATGAATGATAAGGCGATACTCAGAAATGAGAGCTTGATCCGCATCGTAAATGTGGGCAGACGTCTTAATTCCCTTCTTATCAGCAGGTCCGACTTCCAGAAACCCAGAGATCTTCGCATGTGCGGACATGAGCCCTGTCCGTTCGGCACCTTTCCACATCGAGTTGAAGTTTTAAAGCAACCGTAATCCAATAAATCCCCGGGTGACGACCGCTAATTGCTACCTGGCACCAGGTCTGGAACTCCAGGTATGAACACCAGGTAATAATATACACTCTATATGACATTACTTTTCATCGTATTTATTGGTTGGTTTTAATATTTTGTTCACAACATGAAAAAGAAATAGTAGAAAAATATGACATTGTGATTAAAGGTTTTAATACATAAACCCATTTTCCATTAGTTTCCTTACGTTTCTTTAGTCTTCGATTTGCAATGTTTTTTGTTTGTTTAGGTAATGAAAAGTAAAATATGAAAAGTATGAAAACATATGTGATTCTTCAGTTGGTTAATCGAGAAAAGAAAGTACAAATACAGTTATAAAGGGAAAATAAATAATTCTTCTGGAGGAGGTTCAAGCTTCACTCCACTTCTCTTCAATTCGCCAACATTCGTTGATGATGTAAAATTGTTTTACACAAGGTTGAGCAATTAAATAAATCGTCATCCGCCTTAATAGCTACTAACATATATTGGTTAGTGCCAATTTTATCTAGATTACACTTTTTTTATGTTCTTTTTTTCAATATTTTTCGTTTGTTTTTATAGATTTTTTTAATGATTTTTCGTTTTTTTTGTTCGATTTTTTTTCGTTTTGTTGTGTTTTTGGTTATAATGTTTTGCATTCCGTATTGATTCTTTAATTAATATATAAAATTGCTTTCATATTGGTTTTCCATGAAAAATCAATGAAGCATCTTGGCTAATCGTGAGGTGTCCTCTTCCCTTTGAATAAGTTTAACTCGTTCAACTAAATAGATAATACAACGCATGTTTTAGCCAACCTAATCACAATCTCCTGCATGGAGCACATATGAATCCAATCTATCAGTATAACGAGGTGATCACTGCTTTTCCTGCAGCTTCTCGCTGATGTTCTTGCTCTGGTAGAAGAGTCGCACGACATGGGTGCCAGCTCCCTTGGTGGCCAGAATCTCTACCTGGAATGTTTCAGAGAAGCGAGAGTCTATGAACGTCTGGAGAAGGGCTGCATCACACTTGGATATTGTAGACGCCTCCAGCTCGCAATGCTTGCTGTATCGCTCAGGCTTGGCCAACTCCTCAGGCAGCTGGCGGAACTGCTGGGTCACGGCATTGTTGCCAAAGTCAATAAAATGCACCTCGCACTTTCCCTCGTCCAAAACCTTGACAATCTGGGCGCGATAGAAGACCTCGTCCTCCGGGAACTGAGCAACACACAAAGCTCCCTCTTTGAGGTCGCTAAAGGCGGGCAACTCCTGTTCTGCATCGAGGAGCTTATCAGTCATTTGCTCTAGTGCTGGCACATCGCTTTCCATCTGCACGTAGAATGACATAGGGTCATCGTACTGCACCACAACGCAGTTGTGCAGCTCCACTTCGAGTGGTTTCTGTACTCCGGTCACCGTACTGGCCAGCTCCTGGACGAAATCCTTATAGTTGATACGGAGTTGAGCAATAAGCGGCTTTGTCTCATCCTCGTTCGGCTGAGTAGTTATTTCGTATAATTCTCCAAAGTGCTGCTCTAGCAAAGCGGCAAAGGCTTCTCCTAGTTTTTCATCAGACACATCTTTTGGAAACTCACTCAGCTGGCAGTGTAGGGCCAGCGATGGAATCGGTTCTATCTCTTGAGGTAACTTCCAGACCTCTGGAACGACCAGGGTGTTTCCATAATCTAGCAAAAACACTTCAAAGCCCTGGTTAGCCTCCAATACAGACTTGATACTACAGCGATAGTAACAGGCATCCTCTTGAGAGTAGCAAACACCATTTGAATTTACGGTAGGATCGATTAATATCTTCAGTTGCTCCTTCTTTAAAGACTGCAGTGTCCTTACAATCAAGTCCAAGTCCGCGGAATTGTGCTTCATTTGCACATAAAAACTCTTTGGTGAGCTGCCATATGAGATAACGCATTCAGAGTTCTCGTTTCGCTTTTGGATTAATTTTAGTTCAGCTTCAATCAACTTTTGAAGGTGTTCACAGATCTTCAGGCTCTTCTTATCTTTAGTCGTCAATCTGACCACAGGTGGACTGGCAGACTTGTTTACAAATTCCACCGCCACCACACCGTTGCAGCTGTCCAGCAGTGCGTCAAGTGTTGTTAGGGTAAGAGCCTTATTTTTCTCAAACACGGCGCAGGGTTCCAAGCTGCAGACTTCGGCCACAGGTTTAATGAGCGTAAACTCTTGAGGTAACTCGTAAAGCTTATCCACCACCGTTGTATTGCCGTAATCGATCAAAATGACCTTGTATTGGTCATCTGCGAGCACTTCCAGAATACGTGCGCGATAGAACTCCATGTCGTCGGTGAATTGAACTACGCACATATCATCTACTGAAGCCTTTTCCGACTTCAGCTGCAGCTTGCTTCCGTTAAGCTTCTCGCATATAATGTCCATTAAGGAATCCTTCTCGCTAAACTGTAGATACATCCGAGATGTATTCTCCACGTGTGTAATGATGGCTTTAGTGGTAACAGTTAAAGACTCCTTGCTAGTTTCCTTTGGTTCCTTACGATGGCACAACGGCAACAGGCGGTCGATGATGTTCTCTCCATCCAACAGGAGATCAACGGTGACATGATTCTGCCCAGGCTTGAGAAGCTGTGTGGTAAACACCAGCTCACCCTCTCCTGTCAGTTCGGCGAATTTAGCCTCCGCCTCTGGTGTCCACGAGATGTAGGCCTCTGGCAACTGCAGCGAACATTTCTTGGATAAGCTGGGCAGACTAGCAATCTCCTCGGACAGCATTAGACACTTCGATGTGGTGGAGGTGTTACCGTAGTCGACAAAGAGAACTTCGTATCGAGAATCGGGCAACTCCTTTTGCAACTGGGCTCGGTACCACAGCTCATCGTCCTCAAATAGAGCAGCCACAATCAAACCCTTTTCAAATCGTTCGAGGGGCTTCAGTTTGTCCTCCTCGCGCAAATACATCTCAATTAGTTCTAGCGCTTTTGAATCACGTTCAAGCTGAATAAAGAAGTCGCAAATTCCATTCACGTGCGAAATGTAGCAGCTGCATCCACTGGCCAAATACTCTAGCGGTTTAGCAAAACCATCAGCAATTAATTTCTTAGCCACATCCTCGCCTTCAATATACATGTTAACATAACTGGTTGTGTAGTGATCTCCTTGGGTAAGGTATTCAAGACGCGGGACCTTCGAATACGATTCGTTAAAGATGCCATTCGCTGCGTCCACCCAATCCGCTGTACCCTTCGGGCAAATCGGGAGTGCGCATGGCAAGCAGAATGGTTCGATGTGCGACCACATGCTTTCTTTGATGTCAGTTGCATCTGATACGCAATCTGTGTTACCATAGTCTATGAAAAGAAGTACCATAAGCTCGGCATCGATGATTTTAGCGCGATACCAGCACTTGTCTACCGAATACATCGAAACGCAGTCCGCACCGTTTACCACGTTCATCAACTGGGGCAAAGAGGGAGACACAATCTGAAGGTTCTCATGCAGTTGATTAAGTTTCGATAGCTGATCAATCGGGTGGACAAAGAATTGTGCAGGATTGTCGCAATGGCTCAGCACAACACAGTCCAAGTCTTTGTAAGGATCCTCTTTTGCAGGAGCTGGCTTTGGCTCAGGAGCAGCTTCTTCGACAGTTGGCCTTATTTCGGGTACTTCAACGGCCTCTGGAACTGGAGTGGCTGGTTTTGGCACTGGTGCCGGCTCTGCAGGAACTGGCGATGGAGCTTTCAATGTCACTGGTGCTGGAGCAGAAGTCGGAGCAGGCTCTACTGGTTTACTCTTTTTAGACTCACTATCCTTGTCATTATTTTGCTTCTTCTTTGGCGAGGCATTTGCCGAACTCGACTTGCTGCCAGTTTCCTTGCGACCCTTATCCTCCTCTTCGTCCAAGGTTAAGTCTACAGTTTCAATGTACTCGTATGTGCGAGACTTTCCTTTCTCCATTTGCTTGCGCATGTAGTCCAAATCTTTGCCGGGAACAAGCTTCTCTGCCTTTAGCAGGTCTATCACACTCTGATTGTTTTCCATAATAACATCGGCAATTAGGTGACTACGGCGCACCTCAATCGATTTGATAGTGACAACCTTCTCCTCAAGAATCTCAGCTATACGCGTCTTTAGCTTTGCTTCGTTGCTGGGTCGGCCAATCGGCAAATTTATCTCGACTGCAAAGCCGCTTGCGTACTCATAAAACTTTGCATCCAAAGCCTTGATATCGTCACGCCTTATTTCCTCCGTGTTTCCGTAATCGATGTAAAATACCTCGGAGCATGCTGCATTTGAATCCTTTCCTGTGATTCTGGCTCTGTACCAATTGCCATCGGAACTCCGTACTGCACAGATCTGTCCCACTTCGAATTTTTTTAAAGGCTCACCTTAAAAACAAATAGATTATTTTGAGGATCTAAATATCAACTGAAGTATTTACCCTTGGCCTGATAGTGTTTATACATATTATCCAAT